CCTCCTCCTCCTCCTCCTCCTCCTCCTCCTCCTCCTCCTCCTCCTCCTCTCCTCCTCGCTTCGCAGCGAGAGGATGTGGGTGTGGCCGTGCGCCCCTCGCAGGGGCTCGGCCCAGGAACGCCGGCCGCGGTGTGCGCGCGCGCCCGTGGCGCCCGCGCGGACCCCCCGACCCCAGCTGCAGAGGCAACGTCGTCGCCGTCGTCGTCGTCGTCGTCGTCGTCGTCGTCGTCGTCGTCGTCGTCGTCGTCGTCGTCGTGGTCATCGTCATTGTCGTCGTCGTCGTCGTCGTCGCTGTCAGGACGTCGGTTAGGACCTAGACATCCGGCGTCTAGGGCCCCCAGCTGCAGGTGTAACGGTAGATGGAAACAATCAGTGGACACTGCCCCGCTCCCCAAAACTCACAGCTGGCACGCGCTGGGAAGATCACGGTCGGAGTGCAGCTCGGTCAACCCACCGCCAACGTTTGATCATTTGGAGGTGCATTTACGGATGAATGCGGCATGAGTGTTCGCTAATTTCTTCCGACACCTAGCGTGTCGAACAAGAGCGAGACGGAGGTTTTTCATAATTTTCGGCCCCTCTGTCAGGGCCCTCGCCGGGCCTCGGGGCCATCAGAAGACGACGCGGGAGGAACCACCGGCCCCGGGGAGGTCGAGAGGTCGGGGCCTGTGTCGCGCATCGATTTCATCGAGGCGGTGGATGTCTGGGAATCCAGGGCCCGGGCCGAGCCCCTGCGAGGGGCGCCCGGCCACACCCACATCCTCTCGCTGCGAAGCGAGGAGGAGAGGAGGAGGAGGAGGAGGAGGAGGAGGAGGAGGAGGAGGAGGAGGAGGAGGAGGAGGAGGAGGAGGAGGAGGAGGAGAGGAGGAGGAGGAGGAGGAGGAGGAGGAGGAGGACAGGAGAGGAGCAGGAGGAGGAGGAGGAGGAGGAGGGAGGAGGAGGAGGAGGAGGAGGAGGAGGAGGAGGAGGATGAGGAGGAGGAGGAGGAGGAGGAGTCGGTGGAACCGCCCTCATCAGGGAAGGAACCATTCAGGGTCTGAAGCCCCCCTCGGCACATATTCCCTCGCGAACGCCCCCACCGCCATCGGAGGCGCGCCCCCGCTTCCCCTCGTTGCGGGGCAGATCGCGACAGGAGGGTTTGGCTTCCCTTCGTCCTCCAGGGGCCCCCCATCGGGCCCCAGGAAGCTTCGAAATCGACCTGGCATGAACTTCGGGGCGCCGGGGAGGGGCTTCAGACCTCCGGGGGGTCCACGCTGTGACGCACACGCGCGCAGGCGCGCGACGTCGGAGCTCTGGGTGCGGCGGCTTCTCCACGCCCCGAAGCCAAACTGTGCGCGTCGTCTCTCGGCTTCCGCCCCGGCCGCCCCGCCGAGGAAGCGGCGTGAGCCTCTCGACCCCTCGAGGGCGAGGCCCTCGTTTTTTTTGTTTTTTTTTTTTTTTTGAAATTGAAAGCCCGCCCTCGTGAGCATGCAAGGGCGAAGCCCTCGTGTGCTCCCGGGGCGGGCTTCTTGCAAGGCGGCGGGGGCCTCGAGAGCTCCGCGGGCGAAGCCGGGCTCGCAGGGTCCAGGGTGGCCTTGGGCTGGCGGTTGTCCCTGTCGGGTGCGCACAGAGGCTCTGCCCGCAAGCGCATGTGTACGCGGCGCGGAGGAATGGGCCTACATTCGGGGCAGAGCGCGCAATGCATGCGGCGGAGGAACTCTTTTTCAGAGAAGGCCCATCGCCAGAGGAAGAGAATCACGAGCAGCGCGACATTTGGGAGCATGGATGGCCGCATAACGCTGGAATCTTGCGAGGAGGAAGAGGAGGAGGACGAAGAGGGGTGGAATAAGGGTGGTGGAGGAGGAGGAGGAGCATCCCGCGAGTTAGCGCAGCAGGTCTGCCATCCCACCTCTGGCGAGCAGCACTCGGGCACGCCCTTGCGCGACCTTGGCTGCGTAGCTTCTGCTCTGACCTCCCTGGCGGCGGCATGAGTTGAAAGCAGAGAAGATTATGTCGGGGGCGACTGCACAGGCATGCATATACTGGGGCGCGAGCGGACAGAGAGACGAGGGTGGCCACAAATGCGGAAGGAAACACAAAGGAGCCCAATATCCCCATTCAGGTGGCAGGGGCGGCATCAGCTGTCTGATGACAGGGGCGATGACGGGGCATTCAAAGAAATGAGTCATGCAGTCGGCACCTAGGTTGCAACAGACACAGTGGGAGGTTGGCTCCCTAAAGCGTTTACTTGTGGGCCAGGCATTGAACGCGGTTTTAATGACGGACGTACTTCTGAAGCTAGGAAGGTGCTTGCTCAGAACATGAAGTCGGATGGCGGTGATGTCGGCGTCAGCCATGGAGGTCTCGGGGATCCAATAGCGTAACCTGTCAATAGCCAGAGGGGCCCATAGGAACCGACGGCAGTAATTGAAGGAGCCTTGTTGTGATAGCACTCTGGGGGGTCTTGAAGGGGACATCGACGGGAGCACAGGGAAGGGCGGTGAACGAGCCGTATGCTGGAAAATGGAGAGCCGATAGCCAGGGCACCATCTGTACGCAATGACATACTCGTCCCCCGTTTCAATATGGGCTAACTCGTCTCGGAGCCGGTGGAATTCGTCAGAGCGGATAGCACATCGCAGCATACAGGCCCTGCACAAGATCTCGAGCGAGCGGCATTGGGCTGGGAGGCCGAGGGACTTGAGGTGGTGCATGGCCGTCGGTGGGAAGGAATATTGAGGAGCACGTGGGAGGATCTGAAGAACTTCCCTTTCCTCATTGAGAGGGGCCTTACTCGGGGGGTAGAACTGGCCAGCGTGCGAGACGACAGGAAGGGCGTAGACATTGTAGCCTTGCAGCGATTGAATAACACTGAGGCCTAATCTCCGTGCCTCCTCGGTCCTGGAACGAAGCTTGACGCGAACGGGCTCCCAGGCGCGGTCTTGACCACCGTTCCCGACAACAATCCCAAGAAGCTTCCCACAGGACTGACTCCTGAAGGACCTGACTTTCAGCCCATGGGCGCGAAACTTCCTAACGGTTTCTTCATCCGAAGAGGCGTGGAGCACAACGACCACACACTTGTTCGGATTCAGCGCGAGGCCCGTGATGCCACTGCACGCGACGAGACGCTTCATCACGTGGGGCAGCGAGCGAAACAGGTCGCGCGAAAGCATATAGATGTCGTCAGCGAACGCGCACAGCTCGAAAGGGAGCACAGGCTTGAGCTGGAGCACGTACCGCAAGACTGGGTCAAGCACTAGTGCGACTAGTACACCACTCAGTGGGCAGCCCTGTTTCATCCCCCGTTTAACCCAATAACCATGACAGCCCCAGTCCCCAAGGGAAATGAACGTCCAGACGTCCTGGTACAGCAGCAAAAATCGCTTGCCTGACAAAACTGGGGAGGCCCATGGAAAGGAACACGAGGAATATCCACGAGTGGTATACGCTCGGGAACGCATTCTTAAAATCGAAGAGGGTGAACCCGTAATTGAACTCACGCTGCACGTACCCCCAGAGGGAGAGCAAGCCATCTATGTTTATGATGTTATCATTCATCATCCGGCCACGAACGAAATTACGCTGGACGGCATGATAGCGATCGGCGGCGACTTCATTGAGGACGCTGGTATTTGCATTGCTAACGACTTTGTTGTCAGTGTTGGAGAGAGAGAGAGAGAGAGAGAGAGAGAGAGAGATGACGAACGGCATTTCGGTCTCGAACTTCCTCCCCCTGATTCACCAGACCATCTTCCGTTAAGAATACGGCACGACAATAGTTGAACTCCACCAATCGGAGGAGGAGGAGGAGAAGGAGGAGGAGGAGGCGGAGGAGGAGGAGGAGGAGGTTGACTCTGACGCCCACCACGTGCTCAAGCCCGCGCGGCGTCGAAGAAGAAAGATGGGGAGGAAGAGGCTGCCCAAGCAGCACAGACGAATCAGCCATAAATTGGGAGGGTGCGAATCCTCGTTTTTGATGACCTTTTAAAACTCTAGCCGTTTTCAATCGGGAAAAAACAACTTGTCCTTTAACAACCATACACGTGGAACACTTTTTTCTGGCAAGAAACAACCACTGTGGAACACTTTTTCTTTCAAAAGGCAGACCCATGGAACATGTTTTTCTGTCAAACGCGAACGTGTGGAACATCTTTCCCGTGCAAAAAGCAATCGTTGCAATGTGCGTTTTCCAATGAGAAGCTCAGGTTCGATAGCACCAATACTCGCCATCGCTCGGACATCCATTCCCTGTGTTTTTTTCGGTTTCGTGCGTTTTTTTTTTTTTTTTTTTTTTTTTTTTTTTGTTTTGCCAAATGATCAGGGATGCTCCTCGATGGTCCTCGCCGAAGGAAAAATGCACACGTCCGAGCGATGCCAAGCATACCGAAACGCCCACTTGGCAGCACAGTCTGCTGGGGCACGCGCGCAGCGCGCTCCCGGGACGCGCGGAGCCTGGCACGCTGGCTCGAGGAGTGCCGCCTCCCGGCCGCGGGCCGCCCCCTGCGCGGCCGACGGGACGCCCAAGGGGGGACCAGCCGATGGGGGGGGGGATGCCTGGAAGGGTTCTCCGAGGGGCTTAGGCGACCCGTCCTCCTCCTCCGCCTCCGCCTCCTCCTCCTCCTCCGCCTCCTCCTCCTCCTCCTCCTCCTCCTCCTCCTCCTCCTCCTCCTCCCCCTCCTCCTCCCCCTCCTCCTCCTCCTTCTCCTCCTCCTCCTGCCTCCTCCTCCTCCTCCATCCCCTCCCCCTCCCCCTCTTCCTCCCCCCCCCCCCCCCTCCTCCTCCTCCTCCTCCTCCTCCTCCTCCTCCTCTCCTCCTCCTCCTCCTCCTCCTCCTCCTCCTCCTCCTCCTCCTCCTCCTCCTCCTCCTCCTCCTCCTCCTCCTCCTCCTCCTCCCTCCTCCCTCCTCCTCCTCCTCCTCCTCGGGTCGCCTATGGCCCCAGGGAAACCGTGCAGGGATGCGAGGGTGAGGGGGGACGAGACGGTGAGGGCACAAGATAAGGAACCCTTTGAGTAAGGAGCCCAGGGTCTGGAAGCCGGTGGAACGCCAACTGAGGCTTGGCCATGGATATCACCGCCGCCCTCACCAGTCGATGGTCTGAAGCCTCGTGGGAGCATTTCTTAACGAACGCCCCCCCCGTAGGATGGGACCAGCTGGCGCAGGGGGAGAAGCATCGAACTGGCATCGGCGATACATCGCCGATGGATCTGCGATGTGCCCGCGCTCAGCGCCACCGCACGCTCCTGGGCGACTGGGGGTCGAGGCGTTCCCCCCCCTGAGCCTACCTCCCTGTGGCTTTCGGGCAGTAACTCAAGTCACTGGCGGCCGTTCGGGACGGTCCCGACGCCCCGAGAACGCTCTCAGCGAGGCGCGGCCGCTGGCACGCATCCTGAGGCTGGAAGGCCGCCGAGAACCGACGAACGTGTCCGAAAACCTCCAGCCTCGAAACGTCGTCTCACCGAACGTCTCCCCCCCCCCTGGCGCTGCCCATGACCTTCACCAGGTGACCGGTGTGATCGGTGACCACCTGGCCGACCTGGCCTCCATGCCAACACTCGGGCCCCAAGACGCCGATCGAGGCGGCACCGCGCCTGGCTCTGGGCGCTCTCGGGGAGCCCTAGCCTCAAGGCGCCCAAGGAGACACACGCAAAAAGACAGACGCGTTCTAGGATCCCCATGTTTTTTTTACAATCTTGTGGATTTTTCTTAGTTTCCCCCCACCCATGCAGCATATTTTCCAATTTTTCACTGCACATCGACGTGCATTTGTGTCTGCGTCTATTTTCCCTCCTGCCAGCCGCCAGACGGAACCCCCTTCTGAAGCCCTTGGCATGGAGGGCGCGGGTCCTGAGGGAAACGGGCGCTGGACCCCAGGGGGCCTTCCCCAAGCCCAGGCTTTTACCTCGAGACGTGTTCTTGAAGGGGCCCAGGGGCACAAATCAATACACACACGTCCAAGGCCTTTCTATATTTTCCCATGTTCTTCGGTTTTTCGTCTTCCCCCCCCCGTCTCACGATGGGGATCGACGATTCATTGTGTCTATGTGTTTTTCCCCCTCCTGATCTCTGACGCTCCCCAGGCCCGCGGAGGAGGGCTCCAAGAAGCCCCATCCGCCCAAACACCCGCAAGATTTGACAACCCTGGGGCCCGTGGAGGGCCCCGAGGAGCCCGTTCCCCTCAGGACCCGCTTCTGCCATGGCGACGCCCGAGCGGCCCCGAGAGCCTGCAGATGGCGAACAAAAACCTCTAGACCCGCTTCCTTCATTCGAGCAGGGACCGACCGTCCCGGCATTCTTATTGGCCTACCACGACATGTCCTTAGAGCCCAAAAATGTTCTAAGAACGAAAACAAGGTTCTTATAACATGAGCCCTACGTGTCAAAACACGACAGTCTCAGCCAGAAATGTTCCAAGAACATCTCGTGCACACCACAAAAGGTTATTGGAGCATTCTTTGGTAGGCCTCTAGGCGAGCTAGGACGCTTCGCCGCTGCTTGATTCATGGCGCCCCCCCCCCCCTTCGGCCGCCCCCTGGGCTTCTGGCCCGCCGACCCGCTCCATGGGGCACCAGCCCGTCGCCGATCACCACCGGGGTGGGCTGCTGGAGTTGCCGGGGCCTGACTCCCTTGGCGATCCTCTGGGCGTAGTCGAAGACCTCCGTCGGCGACGGACGTGCCCTCGTCGTGAGCGAGCACGCCACCCCCGCACCAGGCCTGGGTCCTCTCCTCGCCTCCCTCGCCCGTAGATCGAGAAAGAACGCGGCACAAGCGTGGACTTTCGGAGCTCCGCGCGGCCTTCTCGGATCTGGAGCCCTCTCGCGGCGCCTCCGGCGCCGCCCTCCCCCCGAGCGCTCCGCGCGCCAGGGGCGGGGGCCCAGGGCCGATCCACGAACTCCGCGCGGAGCTCCGGAAGTGTATGCTCGTGTCGTGCTCTGCTCCTCGAGTGCAATCATCGTGCTGCCGTGCAGTCAGCCCGCATGACATGTAAGGACGCACGGTACATACGGATGCAAGGGCCCTGGCGGGCCATGCCGACACTTGGCGAGCGGTGCGTGGCCAGCCAGAGCGACCAAGGAAGGGCCGAAGGGCAAGGATGCAAGCAGAAGACGAAACAACGCCATACACATAAACTTTTGCCGCTCTGCGCGGATGTCTTGGATCTGCGCTGGGCCCCCTTCCCTGGCGCGCTGAGCGCTCCGCCTCCTCCTCCTCCTGCTCCTCCTCCTTTTCCTCCTCCTCCTCCTCCTCCTCCTCCTCCTCCTCCTCCTCCTCCTCCCTCCTCCTCCTCCTCCTCCTCCTCCTCCTCCTCCTCCTCCCTCCTGCTCTTCCTCCTCCTCCTCCTCCTCCTCCTCCTCCTCCTCATCCTCCCCGCCCTCCTCCTCCTCATTCTGCTCCTGCCGAGGCAGCCTGGGGGTCTGAGCCTGGCCAGGGACGTCGGTCAAGACGACGTTCGAACTTCGGGGGGACTTACAAGGGTGGGGTAGGGGCAGAGGTGGGGTTGGAGGAACATCGCTCCAGACGGCCCCTGGGAGAAGGAAATGTGAGCATCCAGCTGGGCCCGTTCCCTCACCCCACCTTGGGATACCCCCCCGTCTGCGAGCCCTCGAGGAATCGGTCCCTGGACCCCTCCTGGCGTCCACCTGGTGCGACCCTTCGCTCCAGACCCGGCTTTTAGGGGCCCGGGGCCCGAAAACGGCCCCGGGAGCCCGAGAAAGGCAACAGTCTTGATCAGACCCAGCACCTCGGCCCTGCCCCCCCCCCCCCCCCCCTCCCGCCCTGCTGGCCAGAGAACTGGTGCTGGGACACCTCAGGCCCCCAGCCGACTCCGACACTCCTGAGCCCAGAGTGGCCCTTGCTTCAGTGAGGCAAGAAATTGTCATGTCGAAGGGGTTGGGAGGATGAAGGGAATGAACAATATCATCCGGATGCAATGAGCGCTACCTGCAGCCGACTACGGGTAAGGATATACTATGCATGCATTCATGCATTTATGTATGTATGTATGCATGCATGCATGCATGTATGTATGTATGTATGTATGTATGTATGGATGTCTATATATACATGGTAGTTTTTAGATCGTATCTGTATTTTTACCGCTGCCTTCCGCCGAGCTTCCGCCGGCGGAGGCGGCCTCGTTTTACTTCCGCCGACCTTCCCGCCGCCTTCCGCGGCGGAGGAGACGACAGCTCATCCAATCCTCGAAGGCAAGGCCGTTTTGGGAACGCCCCACTCCCAGCCCGACAGTTGTCTTCCTGGCTCAGCGCCTCGACTGCGCTTAGGTCGGGGCATGTCCCCCTACAGGCGGACTTTGGACGAAAGATATACAATAGTCAAGAAATGCCCCCCAAATGATCACAAATTGTAGGAAAATCGTCCCCGGATTTTTTTCTGACTTTTTGGATTTTTTTCTCCTGTAGAAGGACAGGCCCGACTTGAAGACAGCGCCTCCCCTCCTGGAGGGCGGGGCCGGGCCGCCCCCTCGCCCGCGCGCCGCCGGGCAAGGTGCCACCGCCCCTGAGCTTGCGAGGCAAGGCCAGGATTAGCTCGGGGGTGTGGCCCTACAGGGGGACTTTGGGCAAAAAATTTAAAAAACACTTTCCAACTACGCAAAAAAAGTTCAAACATGGTAACGGAAATCGTCCCCCGACTATTTTTTGCAATTTCTGAATTTCCCCCCCGTAGAATGGCACGCCCGACGGAAGGCCAGGAGACAACACCGGGCGGGGACAAATTCGGCGACCCTGTCGGCGCGTGTGAGGGGCTCGTCTGTTCGAGGCGTCGTCTCCGTCGGCCGTCATCTCCGTCGCCCCCTTTCCCTGCGTCCTCCTCCTCAAGCTCGTCAGCGAGAGAAACAGAGATCTAGCAGCGTCGTTGTCGAGCCGAAGGGAGGCCGGCGGCACCGGCCGGCAGGAGGAGGAGGAGGAAGCGGAGGAGGAGGAGGAGGAGGAGGAGGAGGAGGAGGAGGAGGAGGAGAAGGGAGGAGGAGGAGAGATCTAGCAGCGCCGTTGTCGAGTCGGAGGGAGGCCGGCGGCACCGGCCGTAAGGCCTTCGCCATCGGGGGGAATCTCCAGGGTCTGGCGGTTCTGGGGGATGCGTCGGGCCGCGGCCGCTCTGGAGCGCTCGGAGTTGGCGGTGCGCACAACTGGCGGTTGGCAGTTTTTTTTTTTTTTTTTTGTTGCAATCCTTCGTTCGGGGGAGGGCTTCTTAGAAGGAGGCTGCTTCTTAGAAGGCGCCGGCCTTACGTCTAGAGATCAGGCCCGCGCCTTCTCAGAAGCAGGGGCGCTTCTAAGGAGCCCTCCCCCCTCCCCCAGCCCCTTCTGCGCGTGGCTGGCTGACAGTGGTCCGGAGCGCTCTGGAACGATCTGTCCTGGTCCCAGCCCGCCTGAGGGAGGGAGGGAGGGGTACGGACGACCACAACCACATACCAGACATGGGGGGGGGAGCACGGTCGCATGGGATACCATACATGAGGGGATATCATCTTGGGGGTTTGAACGGCCCTCCTCCCTCCTCCTCCTCCTCGTCCTCGCTCCTCCGCCTCATCTCCACTCTCTGGGCCCTCTCTGGACATGGCAAGTACCGTCGGCCTTGGTCTCGAGGGTGCTCGAGCCTCGAGTTCGGGAGTCCTGGAAACCTGGGAATCCAGGGCCCAGGGAGCTTCAAAGTTTTAAAACTTTTAAGAGTTTTAGGGCGTTTTTTTTTTTTTTTTTTTTTTTTTTGTTTTAAATACTTTTGTTAAAAGTTTTGAAACTTTGGGGGTCCCTGATTTCCTGATCGTCGGGGATCCTGGAGATCTGGGAATCCAGGGCCCAGGGAGTCTCAAAACTCCTAAAACTTTTAAAACTTTTAGGCGCCCTAAAACTCTTAAAACTTTTAAAAGTTGTAAAAGTTTTGAAACCTTGGGGGTCCCTGATTTCCTGATCGTCGGGGATCCTGGAGATCTGGGAATCCAGGGCCCAGGGAGTTTCAACAGTTTTAAAACTTTTAAAAGTTTTAAGCGTTTTAGGGCACCGAAAAATCTTAAAACTTTAAAAAGTTGTAAAAGTTTTGAAACTTTGGGGGTCTCTGGTTTCCTGACCGCCGGGGATCCTGGAGATCTGGGAATCCAGGGCCCAGGGAGTTTCAAAAGTTTTAAAACTCTTAAAGGTTTTAAAAGTTTTAGGGCGCCTAAAAGTTTTAAAACTTTCAAAAGTTTTAAAAGTTTTGAAACTTTGGGGGTCCCTGATTTCCTGACCGTCGGGGGGGAGGGGGGGGTCCTGGAGATCTGGGAATCTGGACCGTTTGGGACCATCTTGGGTCGTCTTGGAGCACTCTTGGATCTTTTTCGGGCCCTTTGGATGGCCTCCTGGGCCGTCTTGGGACGATCTTCCGGCATCCGCGACAAAATCAAATTTGTTGCAGTTGCTCGGGGGGGCTCCTTGGGGTCGTCTCGGAGCACTCTCGGGCCTTCTTGCCCCTCCCCCTCCTGAGGCTACCTTGGAGTCTTGCGAGTGCTCTGCGAAGGCTCCAGGAAACATTCAAAAGGATTTCCAGGAGGTCCCCTGAGCATCCGCAACAGAATTGATTTTGTTGCGGGTGCTCTGGGTAGGTTCTTGTGGCACTCTTGAGCTCTCTTGAAGCCCTCTCGGGCTCCTCCCGTGATTCCCCGAGAGCGTTAAGAGGACACCGCGAGGGCTCCAGGGAAACTCCATGAGGATACCAAGAAGCCTACTCCAGAGCATCCGCAACAAATTCCCCAAACAAGTGCTTGCACCTAGGGGTTCTTACTTGGTTTAACCATCCGGGGGTAACCGCCGGCTTCTCCAGGCGGTGCCGCCCGTCGCCGCACCGTCGCCGCTTTGTCGCCGCCTGTCGCCTGGGCCCTGTGCAGTGGAGGGTGCAAACCTCCTCCTTCCTCTGTCCTCTCTCCTTCCTCCTCCCGCTTTCCAGCCTGTGTTGCAGGTCACTCCAACTTCATCCGATCTCCACCCCCCCTCCTCTCTGGTTTCATTCGTCTCCACCCCATTTATTATTTTCCTCCTTTTTCGTTTCGTCCTCTTCCCCTCCGCCTCCTCAAGTGGAGGAGGAGGAGGAGGAGGAGGAGGAGGAGGAGGAGGAGGAGGAGGAGGAGGAGGAGGAGCTTGAGCTTCCCTTCGGGTGAGCGTGCCTAGGTTTCACTGTGAAGTTCGAAACTCCAGCCTCGAGGATCGAGATGTGATGTTTTCTGGCCTGGGGGGGGGCCCTCCTCGTCGCCAGGGCTGGACGCTGCTTGGAAAAATAATGTGTTTGCATGTCGGGAGGGGTCCGGGGACCCGTTTTGAACGGATTTTGGGCCAGGCGCTACCCTCACAGAGCAACTTGGGAGCACTCCCGATCCAGCCTGCACTTCCCCCCTCTTCATCCTCAGTAGTCGTTTCGGCTCTGGCTCTCCATTGCGCGCTTTCTATCTGCCCCTCTTTTGCGGGCATGAGACATTGCGTAATCTGTGGTGCTGAACCAATCAAGCAAACGTACGAGCTCGGCGAAGACGACAATGCGTTTCTTAATGAGCATGGATACATCAGGCATCCTCAGCGAGATGGTGCTCGATGTTTGGTGTGTTGGCAATGTTCTGGTATGATCGGTGTAACTGGGCGTCTGCAGAAATACACATTGATGGTCGCTGCTGGTTTGCTGTCGTTTTTGCGCCGGGTAGCGCCTGAACTCGCGCCTCTGCATGCTGCCAACTTGCAGAGTGTGGCGGCGCACATGGACAGCGCCTCGTTCAAAGGCACCCGCCACGGCAGTGCCGACTACCGATTGGATCGGACGTCGCTGTGGCTTTCGGGACCTGTGAACGCCCTGTACGGTGACTCAGTAGCTGATTTCCTGTTTATGGTAATGTTTGTTCGCATGTGTTGTAACCACAACGATGCCGCGCAATCTTTCTTAGCTCGCTGGCGTCAGCAGGTTGGCGATGTGTTGCGGCCCAGTAACTGGAACGCCAAGCTCGTTTTGCCTTTGCTTTTGGATGTGTGGAACCCGAAAGAGCATTGGACAGGCTATGGGCCGCGCATGCTCCCGCAGTCTCACCGGGGCGAGAAGGGCCAGTGGCAGCAACAAGGCGTTCAGGTCATGAACGACGTGGCGCGGCGGATTCAATTGCCATCTCTGTTCCGCCATCGCCCGTGGCTGAGCGCCAGGCCCGACAACGAAGCCACCGTCAAGTACATTTCTTCTCTGATGAACCTAGACAGCTACCGCGATGGCTTCTGGCTGTACATTGTTGCCCGAGACCTGCAGGCAAAGGCGCCGTCGTCGTTCGATGCTGCGTCGTGCTACAAGTGTGGCGAAAACGGCGAGAACGGGCTCGACGTCATTTTCCCCAAAGTAAGGGCTACGGACAGTGAGCTCCGCACACTTAACCGAGTGGAGAACAGACTCCAGCTGGCACAGCTGGTTGGGACAAAACTGATCACAAGCGCGCTGAGCACCGACGTGTTGCGGTTCGTGCCCGACATAAACAGCGGCCAGCACCACGAGCACAACATGTGCGAGTACATGCAGCAACACGAGCGGAAGGACAAGACCTCGTCGAAGAACCAGCCGCGGGAGAGGCGTAGCGACGCGGAGCTGCGGGAGTTCTTCTCGGCGTCCCTCCCCGGCCTCTTCGGCGAAACCGAGCACGGGCACGTGAGGGTCGCTCTGGGCGCTGGCGAAACCAGCCAGGCGGCGCCACTTAGCGACGCAGACTTCCTGGCAGCGCTGAAACTGGCGTGGCCAGGCCAAGTCACAGACAACGGCATGTGGCGCAGGTCATTCGCCGACCGCCTCTGCAAGCGGCCCCGTCACGCCTGACCGTCACTTGCAAAAGCCCTGGCCATCATACCGTCGATGCCGTCTCGCTGCTCGGGGGTGTAGCTCGCGGAGGCCCTCTCTCGTGGCTATCCGCAGCTGTCTTGGGCTGTTCTGGGGAGATCCTGGGGACCTCCGGGCACCGAAAATAAGTGAACCGACGGTCCTCGGAAAGCGCAGGTCTTGGTTCACTTATTCTGGTTGGCTTGTGGGCGCGTTCGCCACCCCCGGGGCCGCCTCTGGGCGCCACGAGGCCCTCTCTTGTATCTCTTGGGGTTTCCCCGCAGCTGTTCTGGGCTGTTCTGGGCAGGCTCTGGGAACCTCTGGGTACCGAAAATAAGTGAACCGACGGCCCTCTGAACGCGCAGGTCTTGGTTCACTTATTTTGGGGGGCTTATGAGCGCGTCCGCCCCCCGCCCAGGGCCCTCTCGGGGCGCCCCGGGGCCCTCTCTTGAAGGTCCCCGCAGCTGTCCGGGGCCGTCCTGGCAGATCCTGGGGACGTCTGGGCGCCGAAAATAAGTGAACCGACGGCCTTCTGAACGCGCAGGTCTTGGTTCACTTATTTTGGGGGGCTTTTGCAGACAGCTGGTCCGCGCATTTGCAGAGCGCACAGGCGCATTTTGAGGGTATTGGGCCTCGGGTGACGACGCGGCGATTGCCGCGTCGCGGTCCTACAGAGCACCAGGAAACTGTATTCCGGTGCATCCGGGATGCAACGCACCCAGGGGGGCGTGCTGCAATTTTCGACCTCTCAACCAAGAAGAGGCGCACGTGATCTTAACTTCGGCAGCGATGGGGTAAGCTGCAACAAACATACAGCCCTCACTATTTCCCCCCTAGCATGTTCCTGCGCTCTCCGCAGTTGTCCTATGTATATATGAATATATATATATATATACAAATGAATACATATATATATATATATATTACACATACACATATATATATGCTATACGTATAATATATGTATGTATGTATATGGCGATGGCATCGAAGGCCCTACCGTATATACATATATTAATTATAATATACATACGCGACACATTTATGTATGGAATATCTATATACACATTATATACATGTACCGCGTATGTGTATACGAGCATGCATCTGATATCATATCATATATATATATATATATATTTGTGTATATGTATATATATATATATATATGTTATATGTATATACATATACATATAACATATACTATATGTATGTATGTATGTATGTATGTATGTATGTATGTATGTATGTATGTATGCATGTATGTATGTATATGGCAATGGCATCGAAGGCCCTCGCCATTATTCCGTCTCCCTCCCCAGGAGGTCCCAGGATGCCCCAGAATGAACCAGGAGGCCAACCAGGAGGTCCCACGAAGCCACAGGAGGTCCCAGGAGGCCCCAGAAGGGCTCAAGAAAGCTCCAGGAGGGCTTCAGGAAGCCCCAGGAGGGCCCAGGAGTTCCCACAAAACCACAGGAGCTTCTAAGATGCCACAGGGTGGCCCCAGGAAGCCCCAGGAGACCCCAGGAGGTTCCAGGAGGCCCCAAGAGGCCCCAGGAGACCTCAGGAGACTCCAGGAGGCCCCAGGAGGCGCCAGGATGCATCAGGAGGCCCCAGGAGGCCCCAGGAGGCCTCAGGAAGTCCCAGGAGGCCCCAGGAGGCTCCAGGAGGCCCCAGGAGGCTCCATGAGGCCCCAGGACGCCTCAGGTGGCTGTGTCTGGTATGTGGTTCTGGTCGCTGGCACTGGAGGGAGGGTCGTCTGGTGTCGGGGGCGGCAAGCCAGCTCACGGCCTCGGGTCTTTGCTGAGCATGAGCTGCACGATGCGGGTCAGCTCGGGCGAGTACCCCAGGCGGGCCTCGATGGGCTTGCTGTTCTTGCGGCAGACCTGCGCGGCGAGCAGCCCACGGTTCTCGGCGGTGAACGGCATCCGGAGCTCGGCGAGCTCGTACACGGTGCACCCGAGCGAATAGATGTCTGCGGCGTAGCCGTACCTGCGGCCCTGCCACACCTAGAAGAAGGCAGACCTGCATAATTTTTTCAGGGTTTCTGTCTTCCCCCCCCACTCCCCATATTTTCCCATATTTTCTGGGGAATCGACGATTAATTGTGTCTGTGTTTTTTTTTCCCTCCTGAACCTTTCGGAGGCCCGCGCGAATTCACTGGGTCGGCCCTGGGTCCCCCTCGCGGTGCCTCTGGCGCCGCCCCTGGTGCGCCCGGCGCGCCCGGGAGAGGGGCCCGGCGCCGATCCACGAGATCCGCGCGGACCTCCCAAAGTTTCTGTTCATGCAGTCTGCTGTTGCTCGGACACCTCTGGCGCCAAGTAGGCGGGGGTCCCGATCTGGGTCAGGGCGCGAGCCTCGACGCTGGGCAAGATCTTGGCGATGCCGAGATCCCCGAGTACGGCGTGTCGTCCCGCAGAGGTGAGGAATATGTTCGCGGGCTTGACCTTTGGCGAGGCAATGCTATGTGACGAGGGGGAGGAGGAAGAGGAGAGGGGCGAGAGACTCGACGGGCTTCTGGAGCCCTATGAGTGGGCACAGGTACATGTGCCGAGCGATATCTCAATTAGAGGTCTTATTTCTTGAAGGCGTATATGTTTAAGGCAATGCGACGAAATTCGACGCAACGAGGTGCCGTGCCATGCAAGTCGTACTAGATAGCAGAAATCTATAGCGTAGCGTCGCCCAACAGACCGTGGCACATGGACATCGTATACCACTGGACACCAACACATGGCGCAACACGCCGTAGCACGGCAAAGCGTGGTATGGTGCTGCGTAACATGGGATATGATTGGGAACATCGCTGAGTATCTTAGCACAACATGGCATCGATGACCAACCATAGCAAATCGTAATGCAACAACATAGCTTGGCATGGTGTGGTACAGCCGAATACGGCTTCGTATACGTATCGCAGTCTTGCGTAGCTCGCTTTGCCATAACAGAGCATGGCATGACATGGTGCAACATGGCGTAGCGCAACATATCCGCCACCGCGTTTGCGGCGGTTGGCGTGCCTTTGTTTGTTTGTTTGTTTGTTTGTTTGTCAACCCCGATGCATCGAGCCGAACAAGGAATTTTCTTGTTTTGGTCGAGTCCTTGCATTGCTTTCCTTCTGGGCAGACGGCGTTGCCATAACCCACTAGCAACCCTCGTGGCTTCTAACCCCGCCTCCGGCGCCCCCATCCCCCTGGCCCATCCCCCACTCGCCAGCCCGAGCGCGGCGGCAGATTGGCGCGGCAGCTCAGCAGGCGAACATGCGAGACAACGTTGCATGCATCGCGTAGCATGCCATAGCATTGATGGGCATGGCGTGGCACGTAACGCCATGGCACAGTGCATCCTGGCAGAGTATAGCAGCGCGTAGTATTGGATTTCATCGAATGTCAGTCAACGCATATGCCTAGCAACGCCTGGTAAGTACTTGCGTTGCCTGGTGTGACGTATCACTACGTTGCGCAGCACAGAAGCAAATAGCATGGCCCTACATAGCCCAGCAGTGCGTAGCCCGGCAACACATACTATATCATAACATGCTGCATAATGTCATTGCCTGGCCACGCAAGCGAACCTGCGGTAAGACAAGCAAAGCAAACCAACGAGCACTATGACTTCTCGTCGGGCATCAGCTTTGGTGGCTGCTCCCTCGGTTCCGCCGCGGCCTGCAAGCGCTTCGCTTTGCTGCAGGCTGTCCGTGAATCTGCAGTCAAGGGTGGCACAAAACAAGCGAGAAAGCGACCAGTGGCGAGAAGCCATCGCCCGAGGCGCTAGGAACTGGCCCTGTATATGAACGACGGGCGCGCTTCTTTCTCACAAGACGAAGAAGAGCTCTTTATGCAAGCCCAAATTGAGCCATCGGGGAAACGAAGGAGGGGGACGAGGGAGGAGAGAGGAAGGAACGGGAGTGAACCCATTCATCCATCGAATCCTCTGGTGCTCGCTGTAAATCCACCGTCTCGTCCGCGAGCCCACAGATCGCTACAGACGGCGCAGCCCTGTGAGGGCACCTGCTTGACTCCTGCCCTGCTGGTGTCTTCTGTCTCTCCGTCTCTCTTCTCTCTTCAGCACCCGCGCCCTTTGTCTACTAGAAGGCCCGCGGCGCCACTGAAGCCATCTGGGGAGGGGGAGGGCCGCCCCTCAGCCCCCCGCGACGCCTCTGTAGACACCTACTCGCCATCGCTCGGACGTCCATTCCCCGTGCGCTTTTCGATTTCGTGCGTGTCTTTTTGGCTCGATTGTCCAGGATGCTCCTCGATGGCCCTCGCCGAGGAAAAGAATGCACGCGCCCGAGCGATGCCAGGCCTGTGGGGTGTCCCTCGTGCGGCTGTGGGCTGCCCCGAGATTCCTCTGTAGGAGCGCCACGAGGCGGCCAGAAGGGCGCCCAGCGGCTTCCGGGAGGGCCCCGACGTGCATCGAAGTTCGGGGCCCCAGAAACTCCTCCTCGTCCTCCTCCTCCTCGTCGTCCTCCTCCTCGTCCTCCTCCTCCTCCTCCTCCTCCTCCTCCTCCTCCTCCAGGCCTCCTCGTCCTCCTCCTCCTCGTCGTCCTCCTCCTCGTCCTCCTCCTCCTCGATTCCTGGGGCAGGGCGACGCTCGAGGGCGCTGGCGGGCGGGCAGGCACAGGGCGGGGGCGGCGCGGCTGCCGCTGGGAGGCCCGCGCCCCCCGGCGGCAACGGACCGTGCGGTGCCCTCGGAATCTCAGACGACCCTGCCGCAAGGTCCGTCACTGCACGGTGCTGGGGCTTTGGAGGCCCAGGTCGCCCGAGGCATCCTCGGGGTCGTTCTCCCCAAACTGTGCAATGGCCCAGGGCACCACGGACCCACCACGCGGTGGGGTCGCCGCGACGCTCGGGCCCTCCGGCACAGGCGGCTGCACACTGCACCCAGGTGTCCGGGAGACGCGAAGAAGAGATCTCCTCGAGAGGAGCTCTTCCGGGAGCCGTGCGGGCTGCGGGCACGGGGTGGACCGCAGAGCTGCACGTGCGCGCGGCACTCAACAGCGAGGCTGCGGGGGCGGAGTGGCGCGCGGGGACTCCTGGGAAGAGAGGAGCGAAGCTGGCTGCGGCGGAGGGGGGCTGTGGTGCTGGCGCCGCTCCTGCGAAATTCATAAAAAGGGGGTGCGCGGGTTGCTGGGGAAAGGGGTGGGAGGGGCTGGCTGGCTGCGGGGGAGGAGGGGCCCATCCCCCTCCACCTCTCCTCCTCCTCCTCAGTGCATCACGAGGTGAACCTTCGCTGTTTGAGGCCCCTCGTCCTCGAGGCCCCCCTCCCTCCGGGCCCCAGCTCTGAACCACCGATGGCTGGCGGCAGGGGCCTGCGGTGCCGCCGGCGCGGGTCCGCGCGAGAAGACGGCGGGTCCTCGGCGGGAGCGCAACTGGAGGCGTCCAGACCGGCGCCGGGTTGGCCAGGCGGCGAGGGGGATGGCGAGGAGGCCGGCTGGTTGGAAAGCAGGGGTGCGGCAGGCTCGCGTCGCGTCGTGGCGACCCCGGCGATGGGCTTCTGACGCCGCGCGGGCCGGTCAACTTTCAAGGGCGCGCGACTTTTCGATCGCCAGATGGCTCCATGCTGGCCGATCCTGGGCCGCCGACGGCGCTCGGCCTGGAGCGCCCGCCGCGGGGTCGCCACAGCGGCGGCACCACGCGAGCCCGCCGCAGGCTCCGCGCACGCCGCGGGCTGGGCCCGGCGATTCGCCGAAACCGTGGAGGGCCCGCGAGACGGCGTCAAGACCAGCCCGTACCTGTGGGCGCTCACCGACTGGGCAGGTTTGGGTGCTGGTGTCCAAGCGCGGGAGGACTAGGGGATGGAGGAGGAGGAGGAGGAGGAGGAGGAGGAAGGAGGAGGAGGAGAGGAGGAGGAGGAGGAGGAGGAGGAGCCCAGAGAGGCAGGAGGAGGAGGAGGAGGGAGGAGGAGGAGAGGAGGAGGAGGAGGAGGAGGAGGAGGAGGAGGAGGAGGAGGAGGAGGAGGAGGAGGAGGAGGAGAAGCGGAACATGGGATCCTACAAGGTGCTCGCAAGGAGACCGCCTCGCTAAAGGCGCTCCCGCAGCGGCCGTCCTCACGCAGCGACCAAGGAGGACGCCCCCCCATCGGATGGGGGGCTCCTCTGGTCGCTGCGGGACTCGGCGTGGAGGAGGCCCCACCAGCGGATGGGCGTCTGAATAGCGAGATCCGCGGATCCCCCAAGGAGGACCCCCCCATCGGATGGGGGGCTCCTCTGGTCGCTGCGGGACCAGGCGTGGAGGAGGCCCCCCCAGCGGATGGGCGTCTGAATAGCGAGCTCCGCGGATCCCGCGGATCTCGCCACTCAGACGCCAGCGCCGGAGGCCCTCGGCATGCTGCCTCGTCTCTCGTGGGAGCCCGCCCTCCCTCCTCTGTGTCTCCTCGGTGCTTCCTCCGTGTTACCTCGGTGTTTCCTCCCTCCTGCCCCCTCTGTGTTTCCTGGGTGCTTCCTCCCATCTGCTGTCTCCCTAATTCAAGCTGTGCGCAGCCCGCCTAGCTTTTGGCGGAAGAGGTTCGCTCTCGCCCCGCAGATCAAACAGTGTTCCCTCCCATCTCCCGACGTGTCTCTTCATCTCTCGTGGGGTCCCTCCTCGGTGCTTCCTCCCATCGCCTCGTACGAGGGACGTGGCACCTCGGCGGCGGGGCGGCCTCTCGACCCAAGGCCACACATTTTCGCCCCCTCCCTTCCCCGGAGCCGTCGTCCCAGACCTCCCGCGAGGCCTCCCCGGTGCGGCGGAGCTCCCCCCTGTGGCTCCGGGAGGTCGGCGGGGACATGTTTTCGTTTTTTTTCCAGGAGGGGAAAAAACACACAGACACAATGAATCGGCGATTCCCAGAAAATATGGGAACATATGGGAAGTGGGGGGGAAGACAGAAACCCAGAAAGCATAGGAAAATATGGGGAATCATGTTATTTGTGTGTATTTATTTGTGTGTCCCAGGGCCCCTTCATTTTGATCGTCGGCGGCGAGGCGGCGAACTCCGCTCCAGCGAGAAGCCAGAAAGGGGTGCAAACTAGCGAATTGGCCGGCGGGCAAGGAGAGGGGGGTGGGGGCGGCCGAGAGGAAGAAGTGACGCTCAGACGCCGAAGAGTTCGACGATGAGCAGCCATTGGTGGGGTAGCAGCGAGAGCTGGGCCGACGTGAACATCGAAACGCCGAGCGAGGTATCCCCGACTGGATCCGGGGATTGACACAACCCCCCTTAGTAAAGCGTGGCTTCGTGAAAACGACATCGGGCCCAGACCTGGCGGGCGCAAGCCTGGGAGATGACGGCCGTGGCGCCCTCTCGAGAGCCGACGACGGGCAATTCAAGAATCGACGTGTCAGGGGGGGGACTCTGTCCACTTCCGATGGATTCTGGTCCACCGACACGTCGGCCAGCGCCCAAGGCTTGTTTGCCAGCTGTGCCCGGCCCTCTTCGAGTTCTCCCGGGCCCGTCGGCCCTGCCCGAGCCGCTGAGGGCGCGGGCGTCGCGGTGCAGGACCCGCTCCTTGTGCAGGTACTGCAGCGCGCTCGCCACCTGCAGGAACCACCTGCGCCAACGGGAGGGCGCTCGGATGATGATCCTCCTCCTCCTCCTCCTCCTCCTCCTCCTCCTCCTCCTCCTCCTCCTCTTCCTCCTCCTCCTCCTCCTCCTCCTCCTCCTCCTCCTCCTCCTCCTCCTCCTCCTCCTCCTCCTCCTCCTCCCTCCTCCTCCTCCTCCTCCTCCTCCTCCTCCTCCTCCTCCTCCTCCTCCTCCTCCTCCTCCTCCTCCTCCTCTGGGGTGGCTTCTCGACTCAAGGCCACGTTTGCGCCCCCCTTCCCCCTGGAACCGTCGTCCCAGATATCCCAAGGCCTCCCCGGTGCTGCGAAACTCCCCGGTGTGGCTCCCGGAGGTCGACGGGGACACCCAGCGGGTAGAGTCGCACTGCGCCCCCCCGCCTCCTCTCGCTGCGAAGAGACCATGACGGGAAGTTCTCAACCATGTTTGGCTTCCAGGAGCCCTCAACAGGCACCAGGACCGGCAGGTGGAGGCCTCCCGAAGGATGTCCGAGCAGACGGGGTCGGAGGATCAAGACGCATCGCCGATGCATCGGCGACGCTGGAGGTGCATCGGCGACGCTGGCGTGGAGGCGATAGGGCTCGACATTGAGCTGCATCCCCGATGCATCGGCGATGCGGCGCGGTCATTCGAGCCCATGTACTCGGACCCTCTTCGGGAGGCCTAGGATCAGAAAACAACTCAGGATGTAACTCCAGTCCCTGGGAAGAAGTTTCAGATCTCTGGGGGCCCATTTTGTGGAAAGATCCCAACGTCGGAATTCTGGGTTGCCATTATGTTGCTTGTTTTTGAATGTTTGTTTTGTTGTAGGTTTGCACTTTGAGACCGCGCAACTCGACTGCATCATGGCCACCTTATAAGCTAGATCTGGCGCTTCCGCGATGCTCTCTCGGGCAAGCCGACGCTACGCATGCTTCCTTTTCGCAACACCACGGGTAAGCAATGGCGCTGACACCATGCACAAGACAAGGCCAGAGCCACGCGGTGATCAGCCTGCGAAGTTTGGCTTGAACAGTATAACTACAATTCGTGCGCGCACACCTCTCTCTCTCTCTCCCTGTGTATATATATATATACATATATATATATATATATATATATATATGTGTTCACGTGTGTCTGTGTGTGCGTGTGTGTGTGCGCGTGTGTGCGTGCGCGTGTGCGTGTGCGTGTGCGTGTGCGTGTGCGTGTGCGTGTGTGTGTGTGTGTGTGTGTGTGTGTGTGTGTATGTGTGTTTATATGTGCGTGTATGTGTTCCCAACGTGGACCCCAAACAAGAAGTTTCCGTATTCCGGATGTGTCATATACAAGGCGCAGCACAAGTAGTGCTATAGGTTGCGAAATTGGTTTCGCCCGAAACGTGGTGGAACTTCGCAGGATTCGTGTCGAAGGTTGCGCCTCCCAAACAGAAATCCCACAGGCATCGTTTCTGGATGGGCTGGCGGGCATGCGCAAGGCGTGCACGATTCATGGATGCGGCGTGGAAACGCCATGATTATTCCCAACCCTCCTGTGGTTGGGTTCTCGTTTTGACTAAGAGCACTATGGTCGAGTCTTCTCCTCCTCCTCTCTCCTCCGCCTTCCTGCCTCCTACTTCCTGGCTTCAGCCTCCTCTTCCTTCTCTTCTTCCTCCCTTCTCTCCTTCGTCCTGCTTGTGTCCCTGGAGGGCTGCGAAGTGCGCACCTGTCGCCACTTTCGTGGGCTCCCGGGAGGTCCAGCGGAATGCAGTGGTGCGCGGACCCGGCTGGGACCTCGCGGCGCCGGGCGTGACCCAGCGCCCGCTGCGGCGAAGTGGGCCGACCCGCCCGGAGCCGAGGAGCGGACCCCGGACAGGCAGGCTGCGGAGCGCCTTCGCCCCCGCGCCCCTCCCCCTCGTGTAGATCGAGGATCGGTTCGGAGCGCATCGTCGATCGCCTTTTTCCCGGGCGCTCTGGCTCAAGGGCCCTAAATCGGCAGCGGATAGCGCCGCGACGGAGTGGGGGACACGGAGAGACAAGAGGGATGAAGCACGAGAGCGAGACAACTAAATGGCAGAAGGCTGGACGGATGACATCCCGCGCCCTCCAGCGAGGCAGGCGGAGGGTCCTCTCTGGGACTCGCCCTGGGCGCCCCCGCGGGCGGGAGGGCTCGTGCTCGCACGGGCCGGGGCCGCCGCGGGGCTGTTCAAGTAGCAAGGCGGCGCCGTCGTCGTCGTCGTCGTCGTCGTCGTCGTCGTCGTCGTCGTCGTCGTCGTCGTCGTCCTCGTCGTCGTCGTCGTCGTCGTCGTCGTCGTCGTCGTCGTCGTCGTCGTGGTCCCCCTTCAGGGTCGGCGGCACTGGCCTTAAGGCCTTCGCAAGTCATGTAGCAAGACGACAATATGGCTCTGGTATGAAGAAAGCGCTCCCTCGAGCACGGTGCGCTCTGCAAGGCCCAGTTGGGAGAGATGGAGACCTCTCCTCGGACCCAGCGCTTCGCAGCGCACATCCACTCAGATATGCACTGCCTCTGCGTAATAATGCTAGGGGCTTGCTACGCTGGCCAACGCTGCACTTCGACAGGCAGCACCACGAGGGCGATTGGGATGGGGCCAGGGAGGCGAGGCAGTAGCCTTGACAAGAGAGTTGATGCGTGGTGTGTGTGTGTGTGTGTGTTAATGTGTGTGTGTGTGTGCGTGGATGGAGAGGATCATGAGCAGGCAAGAAGAAGCTGTGCGCCCACCTCCAAATGTCGACCTCGTCCAACTGCCTGCCCAATTGCCGGGCGCCGTCCACGACACGGTGCAGGTCGCCGCCGTCCAGATACTGTGCGGGTGGGAACCTCCTCCTCCTCGTCCTCCTCGTCCTCCCACGTCTCCTCCCTCCCCAGCCAGGGATGGCCATGAGTGGCGATAGTGAGATGAACCCAGACAAGCGTGCAATCTCTGCGATGAGTGACCCGCCCCGAACGAGTTTTCCGCTCTGCAGGGGTGAGTATGGGCGAGCGACAAGCTAAGTGGTGTAAGCTATGCGGCGCAACCTATGCGATTTAGGTTTTGTGGTGTAAGCTATGTGGTGGTAAGTTGTATGGTGTAAGCTATGTGGTGGTACACAGATGTTTACAGACATATGGTAAAGCTAGATTCCCTCAGCACCTAGCACTACCCCCATTTTTGTGTTATCAATTCGCAACCATCACACTTAAATCCACAACGTTGGTTTCTGCCGCCGCCAAGATCGTTCACCATTGAACGATCGACATGTCCGAGACGTCAGATCATTTAAAATCGACCGATTCTGGGTCGCCGGCGGGGTTCAACCGTGAACGCCGGCGGCGGTGTCGCCAAAAGTAGACACGGCGCGAACGTACTGGAAGTGAATAACCAAGCAGCGAAGGTAGTGCTTGGCATTGCTTGGCATTGCTGCTCATTGCTTGGCGTTGCTTGGCGTCTCTTGGCACTGCTTGGCGTTGCTAGGCATTGCTTTTTGCATTACTTGGCATTGCTTGGCGTTGCTTAACATTGCTTAGAGTTGCTTTGCATTGCTTGGCGTTGCTTAACAATTCATGGCATTGCTTGCCGCTGCTTGGCATTGCTTTGCGTTGCTTGGCGTCGCTTGGTATTGCTTGGCGTTGCTTGGCATTGCTTGGCGTTGCTTGGCGCTGCTTGGTGTTGCTTGGCGTTGCTTAGCATTGCTTGGCGTGACTCTGCGTTGCTAGAAGTTGCTTCACAATTGCTCAGCATTGCTTCGCATTGCCTGCCGTTGTTTTGCGTCGCCCGAGGCAAACGATGAGGAAACAAGACCACACAACCCTGGGAATGCAATACACAAACGTTGCCAAACAACCTGGGGAGTGCAGTACGGAACCATGACCGAGCAACCTGGGGAACGCAGTAAGGAAACTGGACCAAACAGCCCGGGGAGTGCAGAAAAGAAGCAGCACCAAATCACCCCGAGGAAGGATACAATGAGGAAACGAGACCAACCAACCCTGGTGAACGATACAATAAAGAAACAACACCAAACAACTCTGAGGAACCTCGGCGCGACCGCGTCCAGTACCCACGGGTCTCTGCACACGCAAATGAGCCCCTTGGGCAAAGCCTAATCGTGAACAAACTATGCCCCCCCCCCCGCGACAGCGCGAATCGAGCCCGACGCCTCTGTGGTCGCCTCTCGGGGGTCTGTTGCCGAGGAGGTGCGAAGCAGGCGGGAAGCAGCGGGAGCGGAGGAGGGCGCGGCCTGGGAGGAGATATATCAGGGCACTGCGTGCAAGATCCCCCCGTGGCCCAGTCGGCCGTCCGTACAAACCGCGCAGCGGCAGCCATGAGGGGCGAAAGAGGGAAAGAGGGAGAGAGAGAGAGAGAGAGAGAGAGGGAGAGAGAGAGAGAGAGAGAGAGAGAGAAGGAGAGAGAGAGAGAGAGAGAGAGAACGAGGGGAAGAAGAAACGGCAGAGGGAAGAAGGCAGCGGACTGATGAGATATAAGATTCTCGCGCGCGTTGCAGCTCGTCCTCCAAGGCCAGTGCTGCAAGAGTTGCCCGCACGAGTCCCACACGAGTCGAACATAGAATTGCCACACGAGCCGAACACATATACTCTGTGCAAAGCTATATGGTACAAACTATGTGGTGCACGCTGTACAGTGCAAGCTGGCCTGCTGCCTGTACCGCCAACGTCCGCGAGGTTACACGTTTGGGTAGGGGAGGCACGACGAGCCATCGGGGCTTCGGATTAGCGCACAGAGTGCAACACATGATGATGATGCTGGTGATGATGATGATGATGATGATGGTGATGATGATGATGATGATGATGATGATGATGCTGATGCTGATGCTGATGCTGATGATGATGATGATAATGATGATGACGATGATGATAAGCAGACGGATAGGGAGGATGGTGACGGCATGGGTGGGAAGGAAGGGACATACTGACACTCGGCACTGCATCGAGCCTGGAGCAGTCTGCCTCCCTTTCTCCCTCGCCCCTCCAAGCTCGCCTACGTGCAGGGCGTGACCAAAAGACGGCCACGACAAACTGGGCATGATGCCCATCAACACAGGTTGCCCAAAACCGACAGAGGCCTCTGTTAGGCAGGCGACTTTTTGTCCACGCCCACGGTGACACCGACAACGAATCCTGTTCGGTGGACAGGAACTGCTGCTGGTCTTTCGTGCCCAGTCTTTCCGTATCCATCGGTCGGAAGAAGTGGGTAGAAACATGAAGTAGGAAGGCGCTGACAATATATTAGGTTTCCGCCCGCCCCCTAAAGAGGAATGAAAAGGAGACACCACTCGATCATTGAACTAGGCAGGCGCCTAACGTTGAGTGGAATCTGGGAATCCAACTATACTTCTTTTCAAGGACCGATGGGTGCCAATTCCGATCGTACCGATGTGCGCTTCCTTTCGACACCGACTGAAACAAAACACGTCAAAACACACACACAACTCCATAAGATGGCCGTAGCACCTCGCACCTTCGATTTCCGACGACCACGGGAGCCCGCACGCGGCCTGCATGACGATGCAGAGCATGGCGCCCTCAATCACGAGGTCCACGAACTTGACGATGTGTGGGTGCACGAAGCTTGGCGCCGGGCTTGTTTCTTACATCAGGGGGGGAGGCTGGGAGCGGACGAGATGAACGAAACTCGAGCAGCCACGCCCTGTCTTGGCGCCCGGCTTCTTGCTCCCTCTTAACATCGGGGGCGCGCAAACATGGCTTAGCGATCCTTGGATTTGGCGCGCAGTCGCCAGGGGGAGGTGCCCTCCCCAAACTGCGACCGGTGCCGCCTCCTTCGGCGGCGGAGACCAGCGATTTCCCATGGAAACGGGACCCGTCGCCAATCCACGCCCCCTGGATCCATGTTTGCGATCGCCTGATAGCAATCGGGAGTAGCCTGCGGGCTGCGCGCAGACAGCTCCTTCAGCTAGCTAGTCCTCGCTGCCTCAACGGTTCCCCCGAGTAGTCCAGGGCGGTCTCAACACCCTGGTGCCGGCTCCGGCGGTGCCCCTGGGCCGCTCCGCGTCCCCAAGGTTGGGGTGTTGAGACCGCCCTGGGCTACTCGGGGGGCCTGTTGAGGCCAGCCAGGACTATCTGAAAACGCAGTCTGTGCGCAACCCGAAGCCTGACCAATCGTGAGACTCCACTAGAAAACCCTCCTGGAGCAAAACGTCTGATTTTGTTTGCTCGCCTTCTGCCCTATCCCCCCATCGACAATCCTCGTGCACCACTGTCTTCTCCCACAGGCTGCAGAATCGAGGTTTCCTACAGTTTACGCGCCCGCTGATGTGATATCGAATTCACGGACATAGTGCTGTCGCGTGCGCTCTCTCCCAAGACTCTCCCAACGCACCCGCCAGAAACGACTTCACGTTGAACATGTTGCTGACCTCGCCGTTCCATAAAGCGCGGTGGCGGACGTGTGCGACAGCGTAGTGAGGTAGTGCTCCTCCTCCGGCTCTTCATCTTCCTCATCCGCGTCATCCTCCTTTTCCTCCTCCTCCCTCCCCCTTTCCCCCCTCATCCTTCTCCACTTCCTCCTCCTCTGGTTCCTGGGAACGACTACACGAGGGCCTGAGTCTGGTACCGATGCCAGGGCCCTTAAAAGAGGAAAAGGGGCAGGATAGCTCACTCTGGAGTGGGCCTAGACTCGTCTGGCCAGGCATCCCGATTGGGCGGGAGGAGTCCTCTGGCGAGCTTATCCAATGCTTTCTTGCCAGCTCCAGTCGGGCGCTGGCAGGCCTTCCCCAAAGTGTTGAAGCGGGTGTGCCCCGAACCGCCACGCACCTCGCACCACCACAGCCCGCGCAGGCACCGAATTCGGTGAGAGCTGTGGATCTGATGGGGAAGGCCTCGACACGGGGCAGCTAGCCACTCGTTGGTGGGAAGCTGGCGGGTTGGTGCCGTCAGGCATACAGTGCAGAAAGAAGAGCCTCGCCTTGGAACCACCTGGTGGGTAGTAGCCTGGCCGGCGTCCATTCGAACAGCGATTCGTTCATCTCGTCGCGCCCTGCGGGCTGCAACCAGGTCGGCTGAGGTCGGGGCTCCTGGGGCCTTAGCATCAGCCTGCCTGGCCAGGACCTCCGCCATACCTGCCTCGAGCAGATGTTCCAGGACCTTCTTGGCCAGGGAATCGATTCGAGCGACTTCGGCGAGCGAGGCAGGGGGCAACTGGGCAAGGGCGGCCCCCTTCTTGGCTGCCTCGTCAGCAGCCTCATTACACCTGAATTCGGCTTCTGAAACATGCCTGCCTATGTCAGCCTCCGTGAGGTGACTCTTAATTTTCTGAAATTGGGCTTCTCCTGGCCTGGAATTATATTCATGCCAGAAGCGGGCCCAAGCAGCCGCATGCAGAGGCTGCACCTGGCTGGGACCGCCGTGGATCGCTTTCAAAAGACAGGCACCGTCTACGACGAAAGTAGCTGGGCCAGCCGTGTGTTTCAGGGCCTGCGTGAGGCCCTCAAGTTCCGCGAGGGGCACCGCCTGGTGCCTTCCCAGGAGCGGGCCCCAGGCTTCCCCTTGGATGGCGCCCTGGGCCCAAACAGCAAAACCCCAGCCGCACCTACGGAGCCTCGGGTCACTGGTGCTCCTCCTCTGGTTCCTCCTCCTACTCCTCCTCCTCCTCCTCCTCCTCCTCCTCCTCCTCCTCCTCTGGTTCCTCCTGCATCCAGTCCCTCTTGGGGTATGGCGGCTTCCCAGCCTTTATTCCTTTGCGTGCCCCCAACACATACCTGATCGGAGCAAACCGCCTGGGCATCTTGTCTGGATATAACTTTTCGATCGCGACCGTAGGGACAAATCGCTCGGCGTCAAATCAAAGCGCAGCTAACGAGCAGCGGACTGAATCAGTTTCCGGTGGGGTTACTTTTTTGATTTGCGGCCCGCAAGGAAAACTCCAGAGGGCGGAATGAGGCAATGGGGCGCAAAGCCAGACGATTACCATGCAAGGACCACTGGGCGGATGCCAGCGAAGAGAAGCTGCCACGGATGGACAACAAACCGGTGGGGTTACGCGAAGCGTCTAGACTTCTGTCTATTCCCTTCACGGTGTGTGCGCTTACGAGCTTACGGAGGAGGAGGAGGAGGAGGAGGAGGAGGAGGAGGAGGAGGAGGAGGAGGAGGAGGAAGCGGAGGAGG